AGGCTCAGCCTCCCGGCCCGCCGGCGCCCCGGCCAGAGAGGGGCCACCCCGGCGGACCGCGACCAGGCAGGGGCCCACCCTGAGCCGGCCCGGCTTGCTGTCCTGCGGGGGCTCCCCATCCAGCCGGGGCGGGGCGGGTGCCCGGGGCGACGCTGCCTCCCCCACCTGCACACCCCCTTCCGTTTCCAAATCCCACAGTTCTGTCCACGCAGCCTCAGGGGGGCAAGGGCCGCTCCCAGCTCCCCCCAAACCGAAGAGGCCTAAGGGGGCTCTGTGTCACCGGCCCGGCGTACCTTCAGTGACTTGAGGAAGCTCAGGGACTTGCGCTGGATGTCGGCCAGGCGGCTGGCGCACAGGTCTCTGGGCTCCTGCCGACCTGCAGAGCCACGGGGGGCAGCTGAGCCCTGCGAGCTCCCTGGCCTTCCCAGCGCCCCACGGCGGGTGAACACAGCCTCTCGGCCTGCATTAGGAAACTGAGGCACAGAGCCCAGGAGTTGCAGGCGCGCTGGTGCTGCGCTGTGCTGCTCCGACAATCACGTCAAAAGAGCCCCTGTCCTCTCGCACTGTCCGGGGAACTGGAGTCACTCACCCCCCCCCCCGCCCCCCATCTCTCTCCGGGGGCTCTCGCGCAGCTGGCCCAGCAGACGCAGGGGCAGGCGCTGGCGTTTCTGCAGCAGCGGGCGGAGCAGGAGGCCTTGGAGACGCAGATGGCGCTGAACAGGATGCTCCTCCGACACCAGCTGCAGGTCAGCGGCCGGGCAGGCTGCCCCACTCCCACCCTCGGTGCCGGACTCGGGGCGGCGGGGGGCGCTCGCAGACCAGCCTGGGAGGGGACTGCGGGCCCGGCCCTTGCCAAAGACCAGCGAACCAGAGGCCGGCATAGCAGGATCATTCTAGAACCTCGCTCGGAAGCAGAGTTCGGAGGAGAAACAGGACGTTTTGGCCACGCGTGTCCTGGGGGCCCCTGCCCGGGACCAGAGCCGGGTCCCGGGCCTGTGGGGCGTCTGGGCCAGGGGTGCCCACAGCCCCAGGTTGCTCCCAAGCCTGCCTGTGCCCAGCCTTCCTGGTGACTGGCGTCACTGAGCCCCGTCAGAGAGGCAGTCTCGCCAGTGGGCAGCCCAGCGCCTGCCCCCAGGGGAGGGCGGTGCCAGGCCTGGCGGCAGGAACCCCACCAGCAGGGCACGGACCTGGCGAGGGCGGGGTGTGCGCGGCCCTTGGAAAGCGGCAGTTTCTTCTCTGTGTCTTTGGCCGCGGGACTGCTGGGGGCACTGCTGGGGGGACGCACACTCACAGTACACGCTGGGGACGCTCCCGGGTGAGGGAACTGGAGGAAATGTGTGCACGTGCAGATGTATGTACATGTATGCACATGTGGGGGGTGCACGTGTGGGTGTATGTATACACGTGTACGTATGTGTGGGGGCATGTGCAGGTGTATGTATATGTGTGTGTGCACGTGGGACACTGCAGATGTGTACACGTGTGTGGGAGTATGGGGCATGTGTGGGTATGGGGCATGTGTGGGTGTGTGTACATGCGTGTGCAGGTATGGAGCATGTGTGGGTGTGCACGTGTGTGCGGGTTTGGGGCATATGTGTGCATGTGTGTGTGGGTATGGGGCATGTGTGTGTGCATGTGTGTGTGGGTATGGGGCGTGTGTGCACATGTGTGCGGGTATGGGGCATGTGTGGGTGTGTGTGCACGTGTGTGCGGGTATGGGGCATATATGGGTGTGTGTACATGTGTGTGCGGGTATGGGGCATGTGTGTGTGCATATGTGTGGGGTATGGGGCATGTGTGGGTGTGTGCATGTGTGTGGGTATGGGGCATGTGTGGGTGTGTGTACACGTGTGTGGGGCACTATGGATGTGTGTGCATGTGTGCGTGTGTGGGGACATGTGCGGGTGTGTATACATGTGTGCATGCATGTGTGGGGCATGTGCATGTGTGTACACGAGCGCGGGGCATGTGTGGGTGTATGTACACACATGTGGAGGCATGCTTATAGACACCCTCAGACCCGCAGTGACACCGCCACACCTGGCCCTCCCTCTCTCCCCTTCTCCCTCCTGCTCCCTCTTTTCCGCACCTCTGCTGCCCTCCAGGGCCCCGGCCCCCGGCCCTGCACCTGCTGGGTGGCCGCAGCCTGAGCTGGGGTTTCCCTCCCAGGTGTCCTCTGCGCCGCTGGCCCCAGGCCGTGCCCCCTCCCAGCCCTGGGGCTCCAGCCCTGGCCTCCCCGCGTGTCTGCCAGGCACCTGCCACCGTGCCCGGCCCTGCGGCCTCCAGTCGGCCCCACTTGGAAGATGGACAAACGAGGCCCTGGGGTTGGAGACCTGCCCGAGACCGGACTCCTCCTGGGGACCCCGGCCTGGCGCGGCTGGCCCAACCCAGCACCCTCAGGTGGTGGAGCCACCCTGCGCCCCGCCCGCAGCACACGCCCCCTCCCTGTGCTCGCAGCGGCTGATGCAGAAACACTCGGCCCAGGCCAGGCAGGAAATGGCTTCGACGCCGGAGCGGCTGCCGAGCCGTGGGGACCCAGCGCCGAGGACGAGCTCTCCCAGGACCGTGGCGGCCAGACCCTGGTGAGGCCCGGGGCTGAACATAGAAGAGGGTGGAGGGAACCGAGCACGGGCCACAGGTGTGGCGCTGCTGGCCCTGCTGGCGCCGTACCCAGTGCCTTCTCTCACCCGGTGGCAGGTCACACCCACCCCTGGGCACAGACGCCGCTGTATCCTCGCCCAGGGAAGGACGGGCGAGTGTGGCCGGCACGCCAGCCCCTGCAGGTGAGAACGTCCCCAAGTCCCCCGCCTCCCTGTGCCGGCGGCTGGCTCGTGGCCCCAGTGTGGTCGCCGCACCTCAAGGCTCCCGACTGATGGCTGTCTCTGGCTTAATCTCCTCGTGGCCGTAGAACGTGTGTGTGATTCCAGTCATGCTCAGACTCGGGTTTTGGCCGGAGTGTGGCCCGTGTTGGTGGACGTTCCGCGAGAGAACCCGTGTTCTGCCGCGGGGGGCGGTGCTCTGGGGCGTCGACTAGGCCGTGCTGTCGGCTCCACGACGGCCGGCGGGGCCCCTGCCTGCTGCTCCCTCCCTGCTGACGCCGGGCGTGGCAATGCCGCCTGTAACCTGGAGAACCTGAGTTCCCCTGCGGTTCTGTTCGTGTTGGCTTCGTGCGTCTGGCAGCTCGGGCATTAGGCACATAAACACCCGGATCGTGATGGGCTCTCCATGAACTGGCCCCTTGGTGCGGAATAACCCTCGTTATCCCGGGAACGGTCGAGTTTGTGTGATATTGAAAGAGCCACACCAGCTTTCCTTGAACTAGTGTCACGCGGTGTCTCCTTTCCCATCCTTTTACTTTTAACGTATTTGCCCCTCTGTATTTCCAGTGTGTTTCTTTTTTCTTTTTTGTGACAAGAGTCTCACCCTGTTGCCACTTGGGTAGAGTGCAGCGGCGTCATCATAGCTCACTGCAGCCTCGAACTCCTGGGTTCAAGTGGATCCTCCCGCCTCGGCCTCCCAGAGTGCTGGGATCACAGGCGTGAGCCACGGCGCCCGGCCTTAAGGGCATTTCTTATAGGCAGCACATTGTTGGATCTTGCTTTTAAAAAAATTCAGCCTGGCAGCCTCTCTGCCTTTGAACTGGGGGCTCACACCACGCTCATCGCTTGTGACCGCTGATGGGGTTGGGGGGTTTTTGGGTCTTTTCCTTGTTTCGCTCCGCCTGTCCTTTATTTTCTTATTCTGCTGCTTAGTGTCTGCCCCCTTTTGGATTAAAACGTAGTTTTTGGATTCTGCTTTCTCCAGTGTTGGCGTGTGAGCCATCGCCCTGTCACTGCGCGGTTGCTGTGGGGTTCATCACGGCACACGCAGTCCCCCTCCCAGTGGGGCCCGTCACTCCCCGCGCAGCAGGGGCCTGGCTGAGCGCTTCCACCCCCCCTCCCTGGCCTGCGGGCTCGTGTGGACCCGCATCTTATTCTCAATGTTTTACAGACTCTACACGTCCATTACTTTGTCCGTTATCTTGTTATGAGTTTTAAGTTCTGCCTGTACTTGTATCTCCCCGTAGTCACCACCTTACCATTTCTGGTGCTTTCCATGCCTTTTCACGGATCTAGATTTCCAGCTGGCATCATTTGCCTTCTGCTCCAAGGACTTCTTTTCCTACTCCCCATTGTGCATGTCGGCTGGCGACAGTCTCTGGCTTTTGTGTGTCTAGCGACATCTCCATCACATCTCTGTTTCCCGACGTGTTCTTTGCTGGCTGTAGAATCCCAGGCGGACGTTTTTCCTTCCAGTGCTCCGCTGTCTTCTCTCCTGCTGTCGTGGCCCGTTACAGGACGGAGGATGAACACAGAATACAAAACACAAACGCAGAACACAAAGAAAAACGCGGACACACACACAGACGGTTGACTCGAGTCATAATACACCGGGGCAGTTTTATTTTTATACTCTAAAAAGATTAAAGTTAGTTCCTTGTACGTAACCACCCAGGCATTGCAGCAGTGGCCATAAATTCCGGAATGCATAGCCTTAGAGAAGCAGATATTCCCTGACTTAGAATTTCCAGGTGGTTGATCTAGGCGCCAGGCATAGATAAAGGACCAAGATTAGCAAGGATGGGCAAGATGAGCCACAGGGGGCATTTCTCATCCCCAGCTTCTCTTAGGGTGACCCCTAAGATCTTCGGTTGAACCCCAGCGGCTGTGCATGGCTTAGGTCGCCCATCCCTTGAGGGGTCTTACCCGTCATTGACTAACCAGCCATCTTATGGGGTGTACGCAGCAATCACAGGAACAATGTGTTTATCCTGTGGCCTCCAGACCCCCATTGCCGCCGGGTGGGGATAGCTCTTGCTTACTTGCAACTCAGGTCCTTTGTTATGCCTCTAGGCTACAGCCTTGTTTATCACAAGGAGCCTGTCGGGAGCACATTGCTTTTAAACGCTCTGGGCAGAACACATACATTACTCACTAAATTTAATTCTTAAACTAGGAAAATATATGTCAGTCCCCTACACCTGCATTGCTTCTACCGAGAGAGCAGTCGATGCCCTTGTCTCCACTCACCTGTCCACGTGTCTCTTCTCTCTGACTGCTTTGAAGACTTTCTGTGACTGGGTTCGAGCAATTCGATTATGATATACTTTGCTACGATTTCCCTTTGTGTTCCTTGTCCTTGGGGTCTGATATTCTTGGGCCAATAGATTTATCATCTTCAACCTGGAGAAGTTTCAGCTGCTATTTCTTCACACACGTGTCTGCCCCTTCTTCTTTCTTCTCTCCGTTGGGGACTCTGATTCCCCACGGATGAGGCCACTTGGAGTTGTGAGCTCATTGCAGCTCTTTTCGTTATTTTTATTCCCTTTTCCTCTCTGTTTCCTTCTGGACGTCCTACTGCCGGGTTTCATGGTCAGGGATCATTTCTCCTGCAACGTCCAAGCGGACGTGAATCTCACCCAGCGTGGTTTCCAGCTCAGGTGTCTCATTTGATCTCGGAAAGTTCTATTTGAATCTTCCCTTTTTTTAATATCCTCTACAATCCTACTTATCTTTCTAAACATACGGACTACAGTTATGAAAGTTTTAGCGCCTTTCTCTGCTAACTCTAGCACCTGTGTCAACCCTGGGTCAGTTATCAATGAACTGTTTCTCCTCAGCACGGATCATGTTTTCCGGTTTCTTCCAAGCCTTCCAGATTGTTGTGAATCTCACCTCGTTGAGCTTTAGATATTTTTGTATTCCTATGAACGTTCTTAAGCTTTGTTCTGGAATGCAGTTATTTGGAAGTGATTTGATTCTTTCAAGTCTTACATTTATAGTTTGTTATTATTATTATTTTTTAGACACAGGGTCGTGCTCTGTTGCCCAGGCTGCAGTGCAGTGGTGTGATCACAGCTCACTGCAGCCTTGAACTCCTGGGCTCAAGTGACCCTCTTGCCTCGGCCTTCTGAGCAGCTGGGACTACAGGCACGCTCCTTTCTGTAGAGATGGGTGTCTTGCTACGTTGCCCAGGCTGGTCATGAACTCCTGGCCTCGAGTGGTCCTACGCTTCAGCCTCCCGAAACTCCGGGACTATGGGCATGAGCCACAGCGTGCAGTCAGCTGCTTTCATGGTTTATTAGGCGGATCCAGATTAGTGCTCTGCCCGGGGCTAGTCACTGCCCACAACCAGGGCAAGAGCGTTGTGTGCATACCATCCAAGCCCCACGCACCCTCAGGTCTTCCAGCCTGGCTGGTGGATGTTGGCACAGTTCCCAACCTGCTAGTCCTTCTGGAAGCCTCTGTCCCAGCATCTGGAAGCTTCTTGACATGCATCAACCGACCAGTTCTCTGCTGAACACTCAAGGGGAGCCCTGCACGGATCTCCGGGGTCCTCCCTCTGTGTGGCTCTCTTCCTCTCTGATGCTCTGTCCCACCAACTTGGCTGTCTCCCTCTCCTCCACTCGGGGGATCCTCCAGGCCCGGCCTCAGTTTCCCCTCCCTGCACTGCAGCAGGGAAACTCTCTCAGGGCAGTAAGTTGATATCACAGCAGGTCTCACCATGGTTTCTCTCTCAGGGATCACCGTGCTATTGTCTGATCTCCAGTGTCCAGAAAGCTGTTCTTCCACGCCACGCACACGCACCTCTATGTAAACACACGTGTCTACACATACACGCACATAATTTTTTAGTTGTTTCAGATGGGATGGTAAAAACCAAAACCCAATCCCTTTTACTGTCTCCTGGCAGGAAGTGAAAGTCCTTATGATCTTTTCCGTGGCTGGAGCTCTGTTCCCGTCACACCTGGAATGGGAGGGTGCCAGCGGCAGGACAGCTGCTCAGGCGGGGAAGCTGGGCCCTGCTGTCACCCTGCCACCTCCTTGGTGCTGGACCCTGAACCGTGGGTCTCCCTCCCTGGGCCTCAGTCTCCCCTCGTGTGCGAGCAGGGCGGTTCGGCCGTCACCCCCGAGCTCCCTCTACTTCTGCTCGGGTCTTCCCCATGCTCGGTGGGGGTCACGCACCAGAACGTCACATCAGGACTTCTCCCTCCTAGCGTGGCCTTGTGGAGACTTGGTGTGACGCTGTGTGTGTGTCGGGGGTGGGGCGTTAAACTGCCCCAGACACCCTACTTTTGTGAGGCCCTCCTGCAGAAAACGCCCGTGGATACCGGGCACTCAGACCACCCCCATGACCCGACCATGACCTGCTTTCTGTCCTCAGAGCTGGAGAGGCCTGACCAAGCCCCCTCCCAGCTGCCCATGGCCAAGCTCTGCCCTCCGGACCACCCTACCCATCAGGTACAGGGAGAGGTCCCCTGGGGGGAGGGGCAAAATTTCGGGGTTCAGCATGACACTGCCAGGGGTATCAGACCTTAATCCTCCTGCATGGCACGGGCCGCCAGGTGTCCAGGTCTGCCCCTCCTGGGCCTGCACCTAGGGGTGGGTGTCCCTGTGGGTTGTGCCAACACATCACCCACCCTCCAGCCGACAGCTGCCTAAGCCTGCCCTCCAGCCCTGGGCAAGAGATGAGGCCAGGCATTGTAATTCAGGCAGCCCGGCCCACATTTCAAGGCAGGTGGCCTGGCCTTTCTGGAACCCTGCAGAGCACAAACCCTCTAGAGTACACGGGCTGGGCACGAGGCCAAGATTATGATGACCCTGCCTGCCCTTGGGGAGCTCACAGTCGGGAGGGGGTCACGGCATAGGGAGGAGCGGGGTGGGCGGTCAGGGAAGGCTTCCCGGAGGCGGTGGCATCTTCCCCAGGGATGGGCGCCCCTCCCACCAGGCGAGGCCAGTCTCTGGGGAGGCCTGGACGCCTGGCAGTGACTTGGCCCGGTCGGTCTGCCAGCCCCAGTGGAGCCCCGCGAGGCCCCGAAGCGCCGAGCCGCTGGGAGATCTCGGAAGCTTGGGCCGCTTCAAGCTGCGGATGCTGGAGCAGAGCCTGCACGAGGAGGAGCTGCGCGCGCAGCACCAGGCCGCGCTGCTGCGCCTGCGCGAGATGGCGCTGGAGGAGAAGACCCGCGCCGAGCTGGTCTGGCTGGAGCATAAGCGGGGGTGAGCGCATGCGCCGCGCCAGCACCCCGACCCCACCAGAGCGCCGCGTCCCCTGCCCCGCCAGCACCCCGACCGCCTTTGGGGAACGAAATGTTCAGACGAGACCAGTGACAGGTGTTCGCAGGAACCTGGGCAAGGCAGTAAAGTGCTCAAAACACAAGCAAAATCAAGCGCCCGCAGGCCCACGTCCCAGGCACGCGCACTTACTCCAGGTGCACTGGCGGGAGCCGCACAGGTGGCGCTGGCGCAGGTGCACGTGCGGCCGTGCGCGTCACCGCCCCGCGCCCAGGCCCCCAGACGGGGATGTGTTCACAACGTCAGGAAAGCCTTTCTAGGGTTAGGGTGAGCGCCAGGCGGGGAGGTGGCAGCGCAGTGGCCCGTGACCCCAGCCTCCCCGGCTGGGGCCTTCCCTCGCTTCTACCTGTCCTTGTTGTCACGGAGCATCCAGAGAATTTCCTCCAGGCAAACTCCCAGGCGTGGAAGCGCGGGCCATGGGAACCACCTGGAAGCTCTGGGTGCTGCCAGGTTGGCCGCAGACGGGTCAAGCGGTGGACTCGCTCCCCAGGAGGGAGCGCGCCGGCATCCCGGCTCTCCTCCAGTCTCTGCCTCTGAGACCAAGAGTGGTCGGGAGGGGTGGGAACAGTGACGCCCTGGGCAGGCCCTCCCCGCACCTGCGCACACGTGGCCGCCCCCTTTCCAGCAGCGATGCACAGTGGGCGTGGCTGACGGGGGACGGGCTGTGTCTGGGACCCTCCCATCTCGAGCACAGACTCTCAGGGTTGGCGGGGCTCCTGCCCTCTCCCCCCAGGTGTCTGGGGAACAGGGAGGACAAAGCCATGCTGGCCGAGCTTTCGGAGAAGCAGCAGCAAGCCCTCAGCACGTTTGAGAAGGAGCAGGTGAGGGCTAGTGGGGGCTGGGAGGGGCAGGTGACCTTGTCTCAGTCTCCCCACGTGACACCCCTGGTACAGATGCAGAAACCGAGCTCGGGGTGCGAGACCTTGGGCTGAGCGCAAAGCCCAGACTCCCACCCCGGACGCCCTGCGTGCACCTGGCTGGCACGGCAGGTGGGGGCACTCCAGGCAGGGCAGAAGAGGCCCCGGCCGCAGATCAGGGTCTCTCAGATGTGGGAAGACAGAAAATGCAAGTGACCCTGCAGGGAACAGCTGGCCCGGGGGACACAAAGGGCACAGAAGGCCCAGCTGTCACGAGGTGACAAGGGAACAGGCCCAGCCCAGGGGGCCCCGGCTGGAGGGCCTGGAGCTGGCCAGTGGCAGGGACACCTGCCTGTACCTGGGGCCACGTCCCGTAGGTCGTAGAGGCACCGTGGTGGGACTGGGGGCCATAGGGGGAGAGACCCAGCTCAGCGAGCCTCGGTTTCCTGCCTGGCCTGTGGAGGCCGCTGCCTGGCAGGGTGCAAAGACCTGAGCGTGTGCTCTGTCCAAGGTGGCTCTGCCGAGGGGCGTGTCCACCAGGGAGCCACGGGAGCAGCTGGGGGACGGCTCAATAAAGAGGTGGTGTTGCACCTGGAACCTGGAGGGCACCTGGCGAGTAAGCGCCCAGCCCCCACTGCCTCCTGCCGGCGCCTCCTCAGCCAGACCCAGGGGACGCGATGTCCTGGTTGGACCAACAGTAGGTGTTGCAGAGCCGTGGCTGAGGCAGTGAAATGCCACGGACAGAGCTGTCCTGCTGCGAACGCTGCCATGTGAAGCCACTGCCAGCTATTCTGAGAAGGAGTCGGGCCACAGTGGCCCAGGTTGCCTGCTGGGCCCAGCAGGAGGGCCGGGCAGAGGCGTATGGAGGGAGAGGGAGGCCCTGGCACAGTGGAGGACCTGGGGGTCCCCCAGACACCCAGTTCCCATTCACCGGCCTCTTCCTCTTCCCTGTGTGAGCTCATGGGCTGGGGGCTGTGCTGACATTTTCTCCCCTGGGCTGGCTCAGAGGGAAATCCGACACCTGCGGAACATCCACCTGTTCATGCACCGCGACAGGAAGCTGCTGCTGCAGCATCATAAGGACATCCTGTCCCTGCAGAGGTCCATGGCCCACCTGCAGCAGGAGCTGCAAGCCGGGACCAAGCTGCCGCAGGTGGGCGCTCTCACCTGGCGGGGTCTGTCCCCTGGCCGCTGCTTTGTGTAAACAAGCAAGTCCCTTGTAAAGTCGCCTGTGGCCCCAGGTAGAGAGGGAGTTGCTGGGGGTGCAGGTGGGGGCAGGAGGGGGCTCTGGCTGGGCCCTGGGGCAGAGCCGGACTTCAGGTCGTGGAAGGTGCTCCAGGCCGGGAGTGTGAAGAAAGGCCCAGATGCAGGTGTGATGCAGGTGTGAAGACGGGAGCCAGGGCTTCCCCGGGGCGGGGCAGCGGTGGAGGTGTGGGCACAGCAGGGGGATCTCCATGGGCCTGGGGGGGGGAGGAGTGTGTGGCTGAGGATTCTCAGGGAGGCCCGCACCTCAGGGACCCCAAATAGCAAGGCTCCTTGGAAGGGGCTCCTGCCCCCTCCCCGTGGGGAGGCTGATGGCCTCAGGGAGGCTGTGTGGACAGGGGCAGGGCTGTGTGTCTCCCCACCTGAGTGTCTCCTCTGTGAGCTAGGGGTGACAGTGGTCTCACCTGGAGGATGGGACCAGGATTGGATCAACTGGGCTCTCTGAAGCACCTGGCCCAGGCTGGCCTGTTGGGGAGGGGACCCGGCTACCTGACTCCAGAGCTCGCCAAGGGGGCCGTGGCTGGCCCTGGGCAGGGACTCTCCTCTCTGAGCCTCTTGTCTGCACCCGTCAGCAGGGTGCAGGGCCCCTGGCAGAATGGGATGTCTGGCGCCGTGGTGGGAGCCTGCAGACCAGGTGCAGAGGGCTGTGGGCACAGCCACCTGAAGCCCACCACATGCTTTTCTGAGAGGAGATGGGCCACAGGTGGCCACGACAGCTCACCCTGCACTATTTTTCATAGAGTTCCAGCCCCAAAGGCAAGGTCACCTGGGATGGGGGCTCTGAGAAAAGCCTGCAGCCTGAGGGGCTGGCACAGGGCTCCCCGTGTCCCCTGAACCCACCCAGGCCTGGCAGCCCCACCGGCCAGCACTCCCGGAGCAGCCCTGCAAGCTTGGAAGTCACGCGGTGAGTTGGAACTGCTGCCTGCCATGGGAACCCTCTCTTGCAGGGCAGCCACCTGCCCACTTGCTCCCCGCCCTGCTCGGGGAGCTGCCTGTGGGCGGAGCGGCTGCTTTTCCCACCAAGAGCTCCCTGGGGACATCCGTCCCACTTACAATGGCTTCCAGAGCTGGGGAGGTTCTCTCTCCTCTGAGCGTCAGCCCCCGGAGCCTGCAGCCTACCAGAGTCTAACCGCAGAACTCCCGAAACCACACCTGGGGGGGCAGCGCAGAATGGGGAGGCGGCTCTTCTCCAGCCCACGGGGCTCCTCGGTGAGGGATGTCATCGCCACTTGGCCACTGGCCAGCGGCTCCGCAGGCTCCATCCTCAGACAGGCCTGGTCCACAGCCATGTTGCTGTCGATTGCAGGGCCTGGGAACCTTTGGAAAGGTCCAGGCTGACTGTCACCCCGGGCTACCCAGGAGTTTGTGTGCAGGGCTGGGGCAGGCAGGTCGGCAGGACCCCGAGGTTGGGGTCAGCCGTCCTCCCCCGGCAGAGAGGATGCGTGGTCACCACGCACAGGTTAGAAAACAGGGAAAAGTGGGCTGCGCGCAGAGACAGACCTCAGCTCCCCTGCGGCTCCCTCCCCCGGGAAGGCAGCCGCTGGCACTGACACTTTGCCGAGGTCGTGTGCCACTCGGGGACGGGCACCTGGTCACCCGTCTGTCCAGGGATCAGCTGGTCCCAGGCATGCAGGGGCTGGGAGCATCTGTGAGCAGCTCCAGGCAACCCCCAGCCCCAGGGGAGCTGGCACAGCCATGGACGGCCAGCAGGGGTGCCACGGGGTCCTGGCCTGAGACCCCGTGCCGGGAGGGGACTTTCACGCACATGAGGGGCTCCCGTTCCTGGTTTTATTTATTTACTTATTTTTTGAGACAGAGTCTCACTCTGTCACCCGGGCTAGGGTGCCCTGGCGTCAGCCTAGCTCACAGCAACCTCCAACTGCTAGGCTCAAGCGATCCTCCTGCCTTAGCCTCCCAAGTAGCTGGGGACAACAGGCATGCTCCACCATGTCCGGCTAATTTTTTCTGTATACGTTTTTAGTTGTCCAGCTAATTTCTTTCTATTTTTTAGTAGAGACAGGGTCTCGCTCTTGCTCAGGCTGGTTTCAGACTCCTGACCTTGAGTGATCCGCCCGCCTCGGCCTCCCAGAGTGCTAGGATGACAGGCGTGAGCCACCGCACCCGGCCCCGTTCCCAGTTTTATTCGGCCCCGTTGTTTCATGGTGACGCTGAGGATCACACACCCGTACTCTGTGAAGGGGGCTGAGCAGAGAGAGGCCACAAGGGCACTGACCTAACCCCCTCGGGAGCCCGTGTCAGGACGCGGTGGTGTGGGCAGGCACCCTCCAGGTCCTGCCCCAGTGAGAGGACGGGTCTCAGGAGATGCGGTCTCCAGGCTCTCAGGACGCCCGTCCTTGGAGCCGACACCTCTTGCCACAGCCCTGACCGAGGGTGGAAGGCCCAGGGTCACCCTTGGGTGGGGGCGACTGCGCCCTGTTGTAGCAGGTGCCTGGGGCAGAAAGGGAAGCAGACGTAGCCCCAGGCAGGCACCGAGCAAGTGGGGATGTCCACAGATGTCCAGAGCAGGCCCTGGGACCCCGACCTCAGCCCAGGGGACTCAGGGGCCCTGCAGCCTTCCTGTCCCAGCTGCATCCTGCTGCCCCAGCAGCGTGGCCCCAGCAGGGTAGGACAAGCCTGGCAGCAGGCCTGGGGGTGCACTGGGACCCCCGGGGCCCCAGGCGGGAGTCCAGCACGCACAGACGTGCTGCTGCCCCAGGCCGGGTGGTGAGTCTCCGTGCAGAAGTCTCTCGGGAACACACACTGGGGGACAGACAGACACCCCACCTACCGTACCTGGCATGGTGCCCAGCCCATTGTCACCCCCACAACCGTGGCCCTGCTTGGGAAGCTGCTGGGTGAGGAGCTAGAACCCAGTCCTCTGGCTTGGCCACTGACCACAGCTGGGCCTGGATGTGCCATGAGGTTGTTCCCAGGGACAGGTGCTGTGCAGCGTCATGGTCCGGGCTGGTCGCCCTGGGAGGGGACAGGCAGGGCAGGTGGTCACCTCCACTTGGCACCACCTTGCAGCCTCCCCGCTGAGCAGCAGGACACGACACCCCCCCAGACAACTTCGGACACCGACGGTCACCTACAACCTCCGACACCAGCGTGGGGACAGGACACACTCAGCGCCCCGGACCGGCTGGTGGAAAGTGGCAGTCATGTCGGCCAAGGTGACCGGGTGGGGCGGTGGCAGTGGTCACTCATTTGGCCGGCCCTGGGCAGCTTGGGGCAGCCTCAGGCTGGAGGTCAGACACCTGAGTTCTGACCTGCCACACCCTGCGTGTGACCGGGGCGCCCTGGGGCCCCTCTGTCTCTGCGTCCCAACGCAGCAGAGCGTGCGGTGGGCCTGTGGCAGGAGGGCCGCCCTCCGCACACTGTGGCCGACATTCCCAGGACACAGAGCGAGGGGCCGGCCGCCTGCCAGAAGCCACCTGGACAGGCTCTCCTGCTCCGGTCGGTCCCACTGCCCGGCGCAGGCTCAGATATTGCCAGGCCGCCCTGGAAGCACACACCTGCCCGGAGCCCCGCCCAGGGAGGAGGCAGGAGCAGGCCCGGCCTATTTGTCTTTGGCTCAGGGCTCAGCAACCCCCGGGGGCACTTGGGCCTCCAGGCAGGGGACATGATGGGGCAGAGAGCCTGGCGTGGCCCCCACCGTCCCTGTTGCCCCTGAGGTTGGCTTGTCTGTGCCTCCAGCATCAGTCCTGTGTGGGGTGACACTCCTGCCTCGCCCTGACCACAGCAGCCCCACTGCCCTCAGACACCCCAGAAGCTCTGAGCAGCTGGTGTGGCCGCCTAGCCTGGCAGGGGCCCCAGTCCGCCCCCTCCCCCATTCCATCCCAACCCTGGTGACTCTGGGAACCGCGTGTCTTTCAGAGCCTGGGAAGCGGCCTCTCGTCCCTCTGCTGGGTCTTGAGCCCACGAGCTCCCTGGACACCGGGCAGCAGCCGGGCCCGGCCTTTCCTGTACGAACATGCTGGGAACCCCCACTACACCCCGAGCTACCTGGTTCAGAGCCCCCTCCTTCCCCCCAGCTGCGACTTGACCTTGGCTGGGACCCCGGGTGCCAGAGTGTCCTTGGTTCCTGCAGGCTGGCGGGTCCCCAGTCAGGCCCTAGCCCCGTGCTCTTTGCCCGGGTAGCTGTGTGCTGCATGGTGTCTCTCCTCCCTCCTGCCGGCCAGGCCACGGTGGCAGAGGAGCGCCACCCCACGGCTCAGCACAGCCCACAGGAGGCGAAGGACCCGCCCCCAGGTAAGCCCCCCGGAGATGACTGGTGGGCACCCTCCGAGTGGATCTCTCCGGAAGCTTCCCCCACGTCCAGCGGGGCCCATCTAAAGCTGGAGCCCAGCTGCCAGGCAAGGACGGGGAGGCCCACGAAAACCGGAGGGGACGGGGCCCTGTGGCCCCCCACACTGGCCACAGACCCCTTCACGGCCAGAAGATTGGCGGCCCCCATTCCCTGCAGGAGGTGACATGCACGGCTCTTCTGGAGAAATTAAAAGTCACAGCTGGCTCTCAGTGTTTTAGTCACAGCTTCCTTTATTGTTTATCTGGGTTTTTAAGTATTTGGAAACCAGCTGCCAGGAGCATCTTCACGCAGGAACAGGAGGCTTTGCGCAGGTTGTGTTTTTCTCTTTCTGAACTTGCATGTGGCCCAGGCCTTGCCAAGCCGAGCCCCTGATTTACAGGTGGGTGGGCGGGCGAGGCCCGGTGGCCGTGGGCTGAACAGTGAGGGTTGCAGGGCCCAGGCTGCTACCACAGAGCTCCCCACCCAGCCCTGGGGAGCCCCCCGCCACGCAGCCACGCTTGGGAGCGTGAAGGACGCCATGCCTGTCGAGGCTGGGGCTCCCTGCAGTCGCGCCCGCAGGACGGATCCGTGGAGATGGGAAGAGGTCAGAACCACTCGCAGCCTTGGGGTTGCCCCAGACAGCCCAGCCAGGCGGGGCTCCCCAGGGAGGCCTGAGGCCCAGGGGGAGCAGAGGGACACACAGTGCACCCCACGACCGCTCTCTCCTGATCCAGCCCTGGGTGGGCTGCTGTTCAGGCCTCTGTGGCTGGGAGCCCCCTCTGTGGGCGCTGCTGCCTGCTGCCCCCAGCCGTGGGGTGCAGCAGTCCCTGCTCCGGGGCCCCAGGCATCTGCACGCCACTCCCGGACCCTCGCTGCCTCTGTGAGGGGCTCATGGCACCCACCCTGCAGACGCTGCAGGTGCAGCGAGCTCGCACTGCAGACTGTGGCCACGGAGCTTGCTGGTGAGCCGAGGGGTTCGCCCTGGGCCTGTCTGACCCCAGCGCCTCCTGCTCTGGGGTCAAGAGGCTGCGTTTGCAGGGGCTGCCTGGGCGACGCCCCATCGGGTCACTGGGGTGGCCCAGGGTCCTTCCTGCATGGCTCGGCCTTCGCCGCGGCCTTCACCATTGGCGGAGGTTGCACGCGTCTGGGCTCCAGCTAGACAGCTCAGGGTCCCTTAGGCCGGTGGCCTTGGAGCTCTGTGTCCCCACACCTGCCGGCTCCGAGGGCAGAGCAGATGGCGCGATGACAGAGGTAAAGGCCGGATGCTCCTGGGACGGCCCGGCAGTGTCCCATCCACCCTTCGTCTCTGTGCCGGGCATGACCTTGCGTGCCAGAGGCCTGTCCCCCCACCCCACGTGTGCGGCTGGGGGCCGCCGCCACCAAGCGGAAGGAAAGAGCTCTGGCAAAGGTTTTCCCAGCCCTCTGAGGGGATTTCCCCCAAAGCAGGGAGGAAAGAGGTCTCTAAATTGAAACCGTTGTTCTAAAAGCTGTTTTCGGAGACTTCCTACCGCTAACTGTCCCACCAGGGATGATGTTAGGAGCAGACCACCCTGCATTTCCGAGTCTTCACCCCAAACAGTTACTACAAAAAAAGCATTGCGTCCATCTCGAATTTTAAGATTTTTTTTTTGAGTGGCATCGGAATTCGTGGGAGCTGCTTGCGCTGCTCCATGCGCCTGCGCCTGCCAGCGCTGACGGCCCCCTTGCCCACAGGAGACCCTCAGACCACGCCCTGCCCCTCCTCCGCAGAGGAGCCAGATGGCCACACGTGGGGCCCCCCAGCTCAGCGCCAGCACTCCCGGGACAGAGGGGGGCCTTGTGGCCCCCAGGAAGCTAGCGTGAGTCGGGGTGTGGCGGTGCACTCTCTGCAGGCCCAGGAGGCCTGGCCTGGCTTTGTGGGGCCTGCTGTGTGGTCTTGGGGGGCCGCCCATCACCGGGGGCGGGGGAGCATTGTGGGATTGCAGGCACCTTCCCAGTAGGTTCCGACGACTCTCAGATTCCCCAATTCTCTGCGTTTTGCCCCAAGACTCAACACCTGGGCAGGAAAAAAGGTGGTCTTTCCACGGCAGCAGGGCCCCATTGTGTTGACGGGTCTCTGGGGCCACCAGGAAGAGGGGAAGGGGGTGTCTGGTGAGTGGGGGTCTCCACAGCCCTCTTTAACCACTGCGGTACGGCGCTCACCGGCTGCGAAACCTCGCCCACAGCGGCACTCACAGTCCGCACGGCAGCTTGTGCTGTGCACGGACGACGCGTCCGTTTTGCTCTTATGTGACGAGGAAACCTTTAAAGCACTGAAAGCTTGTTTTACTTTACAGGCAGCTTCACTTGTCATGTCAATCAGAATAGGTAACATATACGTACGTGTTTTCATCACGTTATTTTGAAATGTTCACGATTTTATTTTGATAAATGAAAAATTAGAAAAGTCATATCGCGGCTGTGGGCTAAAGTCGCTGTGCGGCGCGTTCATCTGTGGCTGTCGACTGTAGCTGATGCTCATACCGAAGTGGTTAAGGGGTGGCCTTTGTTTCTGAGCCGTGGTCACTGCAGGCGCAGGGGCGTGGTCCGTAGCTCAGGGATGGGCCAGCAGAGGCCACGCCCTGACGTGTCCTTTCTCTTGTGTTTCCAGCAGGCGGCTGAAGGCGCCACGATCCAAGTGCAGTTGGGGCCCCGTCTTGCCGGGAGCCCCCCAGCGGAGCCCCAGGACACAGAGAGCTGGTGGTCAGGGGAGCAGAGGTGCAGAGCTGCAGCCGGGGAGAGCCCGGGCAGGGGTGGGGCGTGCATGGGGCATGGAGACGGGGAGACAGGTTCCGCCTGCACTTCCGGTCTGCTCACTGCTCCTGGGCGGGCATGCAGGTCTCACCTGCCCTTTCTGACTCTGACCCACGATCAGAGACACAGACGAGCGGGCTCAAGGTCTGGCTGTGAGGCCAGCAGAGGGCCCTGCCCTGAGCGTGGGCTGTCCCAGCCCTCTGGGAATGGTGACCTCCCGTCTGCTCCCTGAGCCTGTGGGACTGGGACCAGACACCTCCAAAGACAAGCCCCCAGGAGCCCTGTGCTCTGAGGGCCACCTCCAATGGCGGCCGAGGACTGGCTGGGGTGCTTTCCAAGCATGTGCGGTGTTGGCCGATCCCTGGGGGGGTTCCCTTGACAGCCAGCCTGGGGAGGAGGCAGGAGGCTGGGCCCCCCTTGGGGGCTCCCCAGAACTCCTCCTCTAACGTGCTTGCAGGACAGAGGCCTGTCTGCAGGAGCCGGGGGTCGCCTCTGCCCGTCTGGAAGACGCCTGGCTGGCCGCCTCTCCAGGTGCTGCCCCGCCCCCGGCCCCTCCCTCTCCCTCTCCAGCCCACTTAAGGGTCCTCCCAGACCGGCTTCCACGAACCCCCGGGGTGACGGCCTCAGCTGGTCTGGGGAG